TATATATACTAGTATATATCTCATACATCTAATAAAGAATATGGCTCTTATGTAACATCTCTATTGCATTGGCTTTTATATTTTTTTCTACTTTTACATTTAAATATTGGATAATAATGCCAGTGATCATTTTAAAGAAACATGTCTTATATATATATTGATGTATAACAACGCGTGAACGCTTCATCATTTATTTGGTCAGTATCCAAAACGCTTAAATAAAATAAATACAATGACTGGTTTATTATAATAATTATGCAACCTTGTTTATTTATATTACGAGAATAATAATTACGTGATGTGTCACAATTGTTGTAAGCCATCCACCCTTTCTTTTTTCAATAGACATGAACCATTCCATATAAAAATCTAAATCAGAATTAAGAAATTTATAGTGTATTGGTACTTAAGAAACAACCAAGCAGAACAACAAATCATGGGTCATATTCTTTTTAGCTGAAACTACTTTTACGGTTCAGTTTTTTCTTTTTCTCTCCAACTTGGAGAGAATAGAAAGAAAGATGAAGTGTACAAAAACTTTAACTAAAAAGAACAGATCTATAATAACATCAAAATGATATTAAAATAATTGATTAAAAAATGATTTTTAATAATCATTTTGGAGTCATTTTGATGTCACAATCACTCATGTTCTGTTTGAGTATTGCATATCTATAGAAATATATTGTTTGTATCATTTATATTGCGAAAAAGGATACGTCCAGAATAATACGTATGTCTGTAGATTTTGCAATCACACATTAAGGAAAAAACATATAAGCCAGCCTCCGAAAATAAACTCTCTAAAACTTTTATAGAGTAAATTTCACTCTGAACAGTAAAATGTCATAAAAATTGAAATTTGAGCCAATCTTTTCCAAAATTGGCTTAATTTTCATTTTTTAAAGTGAGATTTGAAGAATTTAGAGAGAAACTTTAGAAAGCAGTATAAAGGATACGCAAAGTCCCCCAAAGAATCCACTGGTCAAGAGATGCCGCCTGCTAATAAAATATTTTCTCCACTGGCCACCAGCCTTCATCAACAGCATTGCCTACGACGATGATTTGTGACATTATATACAATTATTGCTAATTATAATATGGTGCTCTTACCCACAGCCCGAAAACTGCAAAGACGTAAAACACAAATCCATACAATACAGTCAATCCTAGCAGTCCTGCTGTACCACCCGATAAAGCTGCCATTGAGATCTTACAATATTCTACAACTGCGGCGTTATTTGCAACAGCCGTCTCGCTATATGCAATAATCTCTGCAATACATAATCATATTTAATATCTGTTTTAGTTGACCATTGATTTAGCAATATTCTATTGCATATCTCTGGTGAAATTTTGGAAATTTTAATATAAATTGGAATACTTTTCAGAAATATTAAGAAAGTCTACATTTTTTAAATCAGAATTTTTTATATATGTGAATTATAAAATATTCTAAGATATCTTATACTATAATTTTTCTGAATAATCTTACAATAATTCAGATTTCATAAGATTTCATTAGAAATTATAGGATAAAAAATTATAGAAATCTTAGAATATATATTTTAGAATTCTTCATATATAACGAACTTCTAGAAAAGATGTGATTTTCTCAACGCTTATGTGAAAAATGTTACAATTTAATATAAGATCTGAGAAATAAATATAGAAAATCTAAGAAATGTTCTAAAAAGTTAATTCATAAATTCTGAAGTTTACGTAAACAATTTTTTAAATTATATAAAAAATTCTGAGAAAATATTCACCAGGTATGGAAACTTCTTTAGAAAATTACTCAACAATTCAGAGTCATCGATCGTGACTAATTAGTCATGTCACTTCGTAGATTAATTAGATAAAATGTGATTGATTTTATTAATTTATAATTTATATGTTACTGCGTTTAAATACTAAATAAATAAATGACAAACATAACCTCTCAAGACAGTCTTTTATAATATTGTTCAATTTTCTTGCATTTACTACAATTACACACTTTAATTTACACACTTATTTTCAAGATAATTCTCGCACTTACCGCCGCTTTTCTCCTGCTTCGTTTTTATTTTCCCCAACATTTTTTTATTATTAATTAATGAGACGTTAACCTAACAGCGAAAAAATAAAGATACGCCTGCACAAACGCACGAACGGTGTCGTGTACAAACAGCTGTTTCTATCGAGACACGTCAGCTTTTGCGCTGTGTAGATACTGTAGATTCGAGAACTGACGGCGGTAAGTTTAAAGATAGTCACGTAACTCATGAGACATTATTAAAAACTTATAGATGTTCACTATACAATTGTCTAGCAATCACTGGCAAGATGTAAGTTTTTAATAAGTTACTTATCTATCAATTACTAATTTTTAATAGCATATAAATATGCAAATTCTAATCAGATTAATGCTCTTTAATGTTTACCGATAAAGAATGATTATAGAGCACGCAGTGTATACATTGTTTTATTTATTTCCTGAAAAATCTATTCTATTGCACATTCCCGTGACAATGATATATTATGTTGAAAATCTTGGCAAGGATCGATGGCAAGAGAAGCAAGATTATAATAGTCGTTTACTAAAATTTGAGAATGTTATTATATAAACCAAATATCGCTAAATGATTTATTAGACGTGATAGTTTTTGTGTTAACGGAATTAAATTCTGTTGTTTTAATTCAATATAATACATTAGTTCATTTAAAACATATGAATTTGATATAAAATTATCAACAATTTTTCGAAAAATTATTTAATCAAAATATATAAAATGTACATATGTAATACATAATTTCTTATACGATATATAATTGTACGAATCATATAAATTGAAAACAATTCTGTGATAAATGTAATATCCCACAATGAAAAAAATTTAATGTAATAATATATATTTATTATGTAACAAACATTGCATTATTATGCAATAAATACTTATTATGTAATTTTTCGTTTATTTTAATATTGTTTTAAACTTGTGCGATATGTTCTAACGGTATGGTAATGTAATACAGACACTCCTTAGATACATAATTATTCACAGAATTGCAATTTGTATAAAAAGTAATCACAAGAAATGAGACATAAAGTATCTTTTATACAAATTGCAATTCTGTGAATAATTGTATCTAATCTTCTTGACACACTCTCTATCTACTAAGGTGAGTCACTCCACTTTTTAATGTTTTACTTTTTAATGTTTTACTTCCATAATAATCAGTTTTCTTGTACCGCCAGATTTTATATCACTTTGGTAATTTGTGAGTGACACAATCTTTTCAGATATGTGAGCATTTCGTTACATATCTATATTGCTAAAGAGGATTCCAAAATAAGTTGAAACGTTCAAAAAGAAGACATCATTTATCGATAGAATATTCGTAATTTTCATTATTTTAAGATCTTACGCCTGATCACCCTTTAACTCTCATTAGCCTTGATTTATATTAGTTATGTTTATAATCATTTCAAAATTATAAAAATTCAATTGTTGTAATTATTTTCTATCATTCTACTTATTATTGCGACCACCAAGAATTTTATGTTAGTAAAAGTACCGATCTACATGAATTTTAAGAACGATGCAAAAAGTAATTTGTTTAAAAAATGAATAACATTGAATAAAGAACTATGCCGTATAAAAATCATTCATATTTTTTAATTTATTACATATTAATTAAAAAGTCACTGACAATCATTATAATAATTCCAATAATTATTCCGATAATTCTAACGTCGCAATTGCGAGTCTCCGAGGTTTATTCAGCTATGATGCAAAACGCGCGGAGCGGAGCGGTACAGTTTGCTCGGCTCGAGGCTGAAAATAGTCGTCGCTCCGCTCGGCTCAGCATAGCTCCTCGAGCTCCGATAAATATTCCGTCGCGGGGGTCCGATTTAAAGCGGTCAGGAAAGCAAGAGATTCGGCATCCCGAAGAATCCCTCGGCTCGCGGGTGTAAGATATACGATTTTTCGCGCCCTTGTGGAATAATAATGCGTTTGCTGTGCGTGTGCTCGTAAATTTCTACGTGAGATTACGTAGAAAATTTTTTCGTTGATTTGTGACGAAGAAAAACGGTATTCTGAGGTGAGTCCTTCCGGGATGAATCGTCGCGATTAATTCGATCTCATTCGCGGACACGTGGTTTCAAGACCAAAACCACCGGTTGCACCCTGTTAGGGCGTATGTGTGTGTATAACTGTGTACGTGATGCTTTGAGTGACGTGTATGTGGAAAAACGTAATGTTTTTTTTTGTGCAGTAATCCAGCTTTTTTAACTAATTAATTAATTCTATGGAGTAGTTTGTTATTAGAAGTGTTATAAATGTGACTTCTGTATGATAAATTTGGAACATAAAAAAATATTATGCAAACATGATAATGATTTTGTAGCTTTAATACACGCTACATAATCATTAAATTAATTTTAAAATACAATAATAATAAATTCAAGATTAATAAGAGTCAGCGCAATATTAGTATGGAATAACTTGACTCCATTGTTCTCACATTCAAAACTTGGAATAAAGAATTAAATTCTGCCAGTTTAATTTAATACAATATGATCATTGATGGGCTTCTTACAATGATCACAATTAATGTTTAATAATTTATAATAAAGAAGACATCGTAGAACAATAGAGTTAAGTTATTCCATACTAATACTATGTATCCTCTCCCGCGCTGACTCTTATTAGCCTTGAATTTATTATTATTATTATTTTAAGCAGTGAGAGTCCTGTTAAAAAATATTCTATTATTAATTTTAAAAATAAGCTTGGTTAAATGATAATGTGGATAAATGCTTAATTACTTGAAAAAGCTTAATACGTTTCAAATTTTAAATTATTTTCGCAATTTTAAATTCAGCAGACAGTCTTAAAATTAGAAAGTCGGTTATATTCTTATGCAATGCTGCTTTCTGGAATAGCTCTGCTAGAAATGACAAAAAGGTGTAAAAACGTTCCAAAAGACGAAATATTCTTCAGTTATCAATAAAATGTTTTAATTCTAAATTACTTAAAACGTTTTTTAATTTAAGTAGTTTTTTTTAACAATTTAAATTGCTACATTTTTGTTATGCAATTAAAATTCTGAAGTGAATTTCTCTCTCTCTCTCTCTCTCTCTCTCTCTCTCCCTCTCTCAACTGCAGACAGAGGAAATTTATTTTACTATTATTTCACTTTGATGTTACTTTGTAATATCATCTTGAAATAATATTGAGAATATTAGTAAATTGTTTCCGATAAAATATTCAATACCGCGAACGATGAAGATAAACGAAATATTTATAGCACACATGTTAGAACATGTAGATTTTATCGACTTTTTCAATGAAATTTTTATTAATTCATTCTAAAGCGATTTTATCAGAAGTGCAATAAATATCCATTAATGTAGATGCAATTACTATAAATAAATATTTAAGAATTTTTAAAAATAGATATTCACATGAGCTTTACAAGAAATATCTTTAACCTTCAATTATCATATTAAACGCGATAATAGAAAAACGAGTCTCATATGGGCATATTTCGGTAAGCCATCGCGGATGGATCTATTTCTGCCGCGTTGCTGGAAATAAATTCTCAGAGAAGGCAAAATCAACCAGACGATCGACAATTCTATGTCGATGCATTGCAGCGTTGCTGCCAAACTAGATTTTTTTACTATTCAAGTGTGAGATAGAAAGAGAGAGAGAGAGAGAGAGAGAGAGAGAGAGAGAGAATACAAAGATTTTATGTTCAATAAAAATATAAACAAGATATTGTATAATATTACGAAATGTATTCAATATTTTTATGTAATTTTCATCGCTCTCGACGACTTCAATTTCGTAAAAATAAATGAAATAATAGTAAAACATCTTAAGATTCTAATTTTTTATATTTTAAAAACGTTACTGTTATTATAAAAATTTTAATGGAATATCATATATATTTATTGCAGAATTATTTTTATCGTTTGTGTGCTATGTTGTGCGTGATCCATTCATTGTAACGAAAATAAAAAAATAACAAATGTGTATACATTATGACAAATTATTAAACATTAATTAATAATTGTAAAAAACCCATCAGTGAACATATTATATTAAATTATACCGGCAAAATTTAATTCAGCACAAAAACTATAACATCAAATAAATTGTTTAACAGTATTCGGTATTTATAATACATTCTCAAATTACAAAACAACCTATTGTTATAATCTTATTCTCATTGCAACGCCATAATTAAATAACTGTTATTCGTACTACTTGTGTGAAAACTAAAAGCTATTTAAGTGTGCTTAAATTAATGTTAACAACTTGTATTCCATTTATCGCTCGTATTTAATGTAATAATATTGCTTGCAAGTATCATATGGATATTTTTGACTTTTATATTCAAATCGAAAGAGGAGTATTAATAACCAGAGAATTTGTACTTTTTACTCTCGCAATATAAGCGAATTAGATCAAATTAATCTTAAATTGGGCGTTTTATTTGTAACATTTTCCGACTGTGCTCTTGTAATCCAAGATACTTTCTAATTCTGTAACGTAATCCGTCGGAGCACTCACTTATGACTCACTCATGAACAGTCGCTTTTGCGTTCATCAGTGAAATAAGAGACGTGTTTGCTTGAAACTATTTTTATGTAACTACAAAATTATCGGAAAACGTGTCTCGTCAAGTAACGAGTTTTAGAATTTTAATAACATTAATAATCAAACTGTTTGAAAACACTTAATGCTACTCCATTTTCAAAGATTAATTTAATGAATCCAATTGATATGAAGTATTTCTTTTTAATTAAAAATAAAATATATAGAACAGAAAAATGTCAAATTGCCAAATTAAAAAACCATTTACATAGAAGACCATTCCATTCTACTTTAAGTTATTGCAATATAAGTGACATAACACGTTTACGATGTACGTTTTCATCTACAAAAATCACCTTTTACCTCTGTCGCGTTATTTAGATTTATTGGAAAGGTAAAAAAAGAAAAACAATATGTTCAACAATATTTCACGGTGAGACGGACGGCTGCGTAACGCGAAAACCATGTAACATAGTCACATAACGTGGGATTTTTCGCGTTAACGGAATCTCGAGCATGCGGAATTTGATTGAAGGTGTTGGGCGCTTGCGCGAGATACGTCGGCGAGCGGTCTGGGTGCCATCCGATCAGCAGTGGGTGATCGTCGGTGCCCTACGACGGTTCAGCGTGCCGACGTTGACATCATCGTCGACGTCCTTGACAAGACAAAGAGGCCGGGGAACCGTGTGTAGTGACGGGAGCATGCTGTCCACGCGAAACTGTGAATGACCACCGCGTCCACTTCGAGCATCGATAAGGGTGCCTCGGACACGAAGTGACACGCGAGATACACCCGCATACGCACACCCGCATACGCACGCACGAGAGCGCAGGGGTGACACAGACGGAGGAGGGTCGTCGCGTGAAAGCGCGTCGAAGGGATGGCCGACAGCGAGGGTGGCTCCGAGCAGGACGACGTATCATTCCTCCGCACGGTAAGTCTTACTTCGCTCTGTGAGATTTGGGATGGCGCGATAGAATGGGACCATTGGTTTCAAAGTTTAAGAAGAATGCTGGAGAGATTGTAGACCAGAAAGCTCATAGTATCAGTAATAATGTAAAGTTGCTGTCTTTTGAAATGCAAAGGAGGTAAATTCGGGAGGCTGGTGTCTAAGGATGCTGACAGAAATCTCATGATTAATGATCTAGGAATGTTGAGGGAATTGTTATCAATGTTGGAAAGATGAATTTAGAATTATCTTCAGAATTTTGATCTCTTTTCATGCAAATCAGAAGCGCATTTTTTATTAATGTGTATTTTTTCATTAACAATTTAATTATAATTAATTGTCTTTATTGGACCTTACATTATTCAACAATGTAACGTTATTTAAATAACTAATGAATATTAAAAAGGGTTCATGGTTTCTCGCTTCAACGAATCTATTCGTGATAAACTGGACAAAGATCAAGTAGCTTCATTAATAACTCTGCAAAGTTCACATAAAAGATGGACGTGATATAAAAGGTGTAAAGGTGATGTTTATCGATAGATTTGAAACGAGCCGAGTGTTAATATAACAGCCAGTGTATTCGCTAAAAGCGCGTGAGAACGCGGACGTGATTCACATTCAATGATTCGCTGATGTGTATGTGTGAAAATGAATGAATGCCGATGCAGTTGGTGGAAGTTTGTTTGCACTACAAGAGGTGGACAGACTATACGCATTGCGCGAGCCGGTGTATTGCACTGATGCAGTACAATGATAATATTATCATATTATAGCTTCGTACTTATAATTTTTGTAATGCATCTTGGCGAAAATATAGATTAGAGACGTATAATACAATACAATAATCTGAAAAATAATATAAAGACAATGACTTAAATAATTTATAAATTTAATATAATAAAAATAGGGCCAAGCAAGGTCTTAATGCTGAGTTATCATAAAACAAAATAGTTTATTTCTACATACGTTTCGACTCTAATCAAATAATCATTCGAATAACAATCTTAAAACAATACATACATGTAACCTGATCTAAAAACTAATATAAAAGAGTAAATATGGTGTATGTACATCAATAATTCTAGAAGGTTAAGATTGTTCGAATAATTATTTGATTTTTATATCAATTTTAATTGAAAATGACCCAACTAGAGTCGAAACGTATGTGGAAATAAACCGTTTTGTTTTATGATAACTCAGTACTAAGATCTTGCTTGGCTCGTAGCTCTATTTTTATTATATTAATCTAAAAAATGTTTAATTTTTTAGAAATTTAATAATTGAAGTTATGTAATACATTATGTTTTCAATTAAATTGAATTACAATGTACTTTTTAAAAAAATTAAAATTACAAAGCATTATTTAATACTTAGTAAATTCGAACTAACAATAACATAACTGTTAGTTACAATTTCCCACTCAACAATATCTGTAATATAATACAAATTGTATATAACAATTATAACTAAATTATAACTAATAATCATGTCACTGCACTGTTAGTTGATGTTTGTAGAAATAATTTAGTAATTTGTATTAATGACGGGTTCAACTTTAAGTAAATTTCAGAATAGTTTGCCTGAGTATTTTCAATTTATGTGTTCAATTTAAATGTTTGCATGCAATTTTTTACGTGGAAAGTCATATTAAGAAAAACTGTATGTGATTTTAGCGAAACGTGGAAGCACTTAAAGTACCTTGCAGCACAACCTTGACCTCGTTCGACCTACAGAGATCATGCGCGTGAATCTAGCCTTGTACTTGTGTCATTGCGTCATAATATTTAATTTATGTTATCTATTCATTTGATACTTATAATTAATTATCATACAAAGTAAAATTTATATGCAGACATTTTAAATATTTCACAAATGCAAATATTCTTCCATAATTATAAACTACTAATTATGTTTTATTTTTAATACTTCATTAGCATTTAAATTAAAATTTTTTAAATAAATATATATTTAATAAAAATAATATATATTTAATAAAAACGAATTTAAAAATTAATTACAAATTGTACAATTTCAAAAATATTCAACTCATCACACAAAATTGGTCACAAATTGTACAAAATTGCATATTTTCTTCGTATTCATTACAACCGTTTTACTATTCTCTTTCATTTTTATCTAAAACCCGATGCTTTAAAATTCTAAAATATATTTGACACACACACACACACACACACACACACACACACACACACATCAAAGATGTATACATATAGTAATATATTATCGATAATATTTTTCGTATTGCAACTTTGAAATAAAATGAAAATTTAAAGGTTATAAACGTGTTTCAACGAGCAGAAATTTTCAATATGTTGTTTTATCGATCATAGCTTATTTTCTCATATTATTCGTATTATATCTGTTTTGCTTCTTTTGTATAACTGACAGATTTTTTTTTTAGAATGTCTAAACACTATTTCAATAACATCTGCATCTTCTTCTTCTCCTCCTCTGTCCCCTCCCATACCTTTTTCGTCTTTTCTTTTCTTTTTCTGCCAGACGTACGTAGTGCATCTTCTTTTCCTCAGGCAAAGCGCACCATTCCTTGCCAGCCTGACGGGCGATTTCTGTCATACGTTTGCAAGGCATTTGTTTTTTACAGGCATAATACATCTCAAGATAAAAGATGATATAGGGATTATGTGAGATAATTCTTCGTCTTATGGCTCTTTTTCTACTTCTAGTTCTATTTCTACTTCTGATTCCCTGGCCACAACGGCACATAGACTTTCTTTCGGCCGTTTGTCCGCACTGATTATAACTTTTTTTTTTCTCAGCCTCTGCCTCCTTTTTCCGGTTGCACGTCTTGTTATTCGTTTCTTCAAAAACACCTCTGCAAAGGATTGAACCGGTTTATCTCATTATTGTGTTCCATTATAATTCATTGTAAATTATAATGCATACAAATATATACAAATTAATTAACATCTATAATATTCAGTTCAAACGAATCGTTAATATTCTCTCCAAATTAATTGTTAATGCGCGCATTTTTATTATGCATTTAGCGCAATATGTATTATCGATGATTAAAACGATCGAAATACTTGATTTTCACGAAATTTTCTGCTTTTCTTCAAAGTGGTTTGTCGATTTGACTCATTTTGCGAAGAGCGGGCGCAAATTGTATAACTATGAAGTATACATAGGATGTTCTGGAAATCGTAACTGAGAAAAAGGTAATTCTTCAAGTAAAAAAATAAATTGAAAATATAGTATAAAATTTTTTCGTACATTTTTAATAATTTTTCAATTAATAAAATAAATACATTATTGAAATTTATTGCATTATTTTAAATTATACCAAACTCAGACTAGCCTAAAAATAGTACTAAATAATGATTGAATCAAACAGATTGTAGCTAATTAAGTACTTGCGTATTTAACAAATATTCAAACTTGATTTTTTTGAAAACAGAACTCTATACGAAACAATTTGTTCTATATTTTTTACTTACTTTTACACGAGTACTAATCACCTCCTTCTCGGTTGTATTATAATTTCTGAAACATCCTGTATACATAAAGCATACGGAACGTTGAGCAAAAAAATCGATTTCTTCTCCGGAAGGATGGCTTTGATTATCAACATGAATGCTATCTTCACAGGGTTAAATAGCCTTTCGTTCTTAAAGAACCGTTGTGGCGAAATCGCGTGCAAAGATACATTTCCGTTAGATTCACCTCGCGATAACGTGCCGTGTAAAATCGACAAAGACCAGGAAACTATTTGTGATCTTATATGAAACGTCACATCCGCACTTTTTGACAAGCTACCTTTCCTACGAATGGATTACGTACCTGTACACGACAGCAAAGTACAGAATATCGCTCACCTGTCATCAAATGTGCTTTTATCAATATTAGGATCCATCATTCGCTGTCACAATTTTCACTTGATAATTTGATTTGATATTGAAAATAAAGTGAAATGTCATCCGTACGAAAACATCTGAAGCTTTACGAATTTAATTCTCTCACTTCGCACGCTCGAGAATAGTCAATGGGTACCTATCGATTATCAGCATTGCATAGATAACAAGAATTTTCTAATAGGATCAAATATCAAAAGTGTGAGCGTATACACTCGCCATCAAAATACGATTAGTTCCGCGTGCAAAGTTAAATTTGTATGTAACTTTGTAATTGCGATCATTTCAACTTCGTCGTAAAAATTGCTTCTTAGCAAGATAATTATTTAAGAAAAATTAAATTTTAATTTACTACGATTTTTTTGTTAATTCATGTAGAGAAAGTTTGAATAAAAAAATTTATAATGCAACTTTAAGATAAGGAAAAATAAATTATTCAAGTTAAAAAAAATAAATTACTCAAATTTTTGCAGATAAGGTAAAAAAGTATGTGTAACAATGTAATAATATCTCAAAATTCTTTCATTAAAGTGGATATAACTTTTAATTAATTACATTTCACCTTAATATTGCCTTCGAGGAGACACTTATAGTCGAGTGATTCATTGTGTAGTTTGCTGACAGTACTTTGCAACACGTGCTATGCACGTCGCGCGCATAGAAATCTAGCGAAGTTTCCGACACATCGCGTATATTTTATCGTGGTTCTTCTTTAAAGTTGCTTTTTCAAAGCTAGTCGCTTTTAGTTAATTTTAGAATTTAATGTGACGCTGTTCTGTCTGATCGATAGTTGTCAGCTCGCGTAGCTTTCATTAGTGATGTCGCATCGAAAAGTGATGAATTTATAATTAATATACCGCGATGCAGCGTGCGTCGGATGCACCGAGTATCGAACAACAAACGATATACCACACGCACGATGGAAACACCTTTCTAAAGCCTCTTCCAGCTCAGTGGAGCTTCACTTTTTACCGATATGTTTATCAAACGATCATTTTATATGCTGATATTTCTGATGAATAAAGGAAGCAACGAATTGTTAAGTTAACTTGAGTAAATTTTAGTTAGAAAGGATTAAAATATAGCTTCGAATTTTTAGAAAGGATTACTTCAAATACATTTATATTTTCAGGATGATTTTAACAATGTTCAAATTTCTTTAAATATGTTCAATCGTGTATGTGATAACTTTCTCATATCACGCACTAACTTTTTTTCTGTACATCTGAATAAAAAATCTTGAAATGTGCAATATAAATGTGGAAAGGTTAAATATGATTTATGATTATTCGTCGGTTTGATGAAATTATAGGAGTTATCTGCTTGTGAAATGAAGGTTTATCCTTGACCTATACCGCAATATGTTTCGATCGTTAACCGACGCCGGAAGTAAACGATGTATTTGGTTCATTATCAATGCATACGTCGCTCGTTAATCCACTAAATTACAAACAATTCTATCTTAATGTTAAGAGAAAAAATTAAGTGTAAAATCTTATGCACTTATTTATGTGTTTCCATAATCTCTGATGTTATACTTATTAACAGTAAAATCAATATCTCAAACACCGCAGGAAGAAATTGGATTACATGTTTGATGTAATTATAATAAAAAAAATTTTAATAATAGAGAGTTCTTAATTTTTATTTTATATCGCGTACATTATATGGGAATATAATCACGAATTGGAAAATATTTTGAATACAAATATTTCTTCATATAATATCTAATTAACGTTAGCAATTTATAAAACTACAGTCCGCGTCATCAGCGAATTGACCGATTGCATTTTATTAATATCTCGATAAACAATATTAGGATTTCTTGCCAAATTTCCAGCGGAAACTTTCGGTACTTCGCGTGTTTCAAAAGTAAATATACGATCTCACATATGGCGAATCGCGTGCCATTTCGTTTAACTCAGCAGGAAGTTATGTTAATGTGTCCTTTAAATTTATTTATGCATTTCTCTCCGTTGCATTTCAATTTTTTTTAAACTTAAACAAGGCAGGAATGTGCGTGCACGTTCCTAGTTATACTCACCGTCGCATTACATCCGATAACCGACAATATTCGGATTATATTCTTATTAAAATATAGAGAGAAAGAAAAGAGTGAATGTAGTTGTGGCGATACAGGTAGGATACGATTAATACGGTGGTGTAAAGCAATTTCATTTGCACGAACGGTCCTGCGAACCGGGTTCTGCAATCGATTTCAATTTAATTCTATAATCGGTTGATTGCCTTAGATACGTTGTGATCACATTCTTGATTGCCTATAAATCGTATCTGATTAGCGATTAAAGAATAATTGAACGCAAATTGAAGAATAATTCAAGTACGAATTGCTTGCAGGTACTAATAATTTTTTAATCAAAAACTGATAAACGCGCGTGCATGTTTAATCCACTTTAATTTTATACAATATACTGCAATTTTCTAATAATATAATAAAGATAACATTTTCTTTAATAATAAAATAAAGATAACAGTTTTTGAAAATGTTTCATGTATGCATTTGCGATAAGTTATATAATTTAATATAAGATTTTTAATTGGATTACATATTGCTTTATTTAGAACGAAGGTAAAAAAGAAAGCACTTAGATAATTGCTAGGCTGTCGTATTAATTTTCTTCTCGTACCATTAAACTGGGCTTGGAAATTGTTAAATATGGGACGATCTTATCTTAGCAACTCATCATACGTAATTTATATATAGGTGTGTACCGATTGAGTAATGAAGTCATCTGATCTAACCATATTACAGAAATACGAGATAAAAGACAACTCTCTCTGAGACTTTCAAGTTTTGCCAACTTCTACATTCGCTCTCATATATTTTTCATTCATTTTGTCGTTCAATTAACTATTATCTTTTTCTTCGTTTCCTTTTTCTCTATCGTGTCTGAAGTTAAAGTTAAAGGGCATGAATATATAAGTCTTTGTTTACAATAGCTGGCTGAGTGTAAAGGAAAATAAAACCGTCGATGTAAGAAATTAATAATTTGAGATTGCAACTACAGAAAAGGGCAAAGAGGATGGAGCTTGAAAAAGTACAAAGTAAAATCGAATACAAAGATGAATAAAATCTACGCATTCAAGGGTTACAATCGAACGACGCAAATTGAGTGACTCACTCGAGGAGCTTTTCGAGGCGCGATATTATTGCAAACCTATATTAAATAACGCCGTTTTCCACTTCTCTCGCGGTGACGCGTTCAAAAATTACAAGGTGCATTCGAAGCCGATATACTTGTGTATGTCCGGTCCTCATGCATTCCTGAGGTCGTCCAAATTGGTTTTGGCACGGCGGCCGTGTTCTGTCGTTCGGCCGGCATCATAATTCATGCAATTTCGCAAAAGCTAATTATTACTATCACAGAAAATGCTTTTTAAAATAACATCATTCAGATCAATGATATCAGTTCGTCATCTGACGACATTCTCATTGAACCTCGATTCCATATCCGCAAAATATTCTATGGATTTTTTCTATGGATGGTTACTTCGTAGAACCATCTCTATTGTGGATTGCAAAATCCTTAGGTAGTATTGCGTATTATTGCAGCACATCAACGCGATGCAATCTCGAGAGAAATTCGAGATCTT